GGCGACAAAAAAACATTTTGTGGGGTCCAACAGTGCTGCGAGACAACTGAGGAACTTGGTGGAGGAAGAGGGCGTGTTTGGGACGCATATAATTAAGGATCTTACAGATAGGGAAGTTTGGAAGTTCTTTCTTAAATGAACATATAATAATAATTATGAAAAAGTTTTTTACTAATTTTATTTTTTAGTTTTAAGTTTTAACCCCTATTGTACGTTGAAGAGCATTTTTAATTACGGTGGGAAATAAATCGTGCTATGCTTTTAACGTTGTTTTTTTTTTGTCTGTCAGCTGTATATGTAAAGAGTAAAGAAAGACCTTGTGGCTCTCTCTATAATGTTTTCTTTGTATTCATTTATTCAAAGTTGTGTATGTTTTGTGTTTCAAAGTTTATATGAATCTCGTATTTTGGGAAAATATTTAAATAATTGCATGTTTAATAGTTGTGGATTATTTCATTCGTATCAATCAAATATATGTGTACATAAAGCTATAAATTTACATTTTCATATTACAACTTTAATTACTCTAAAATAACATGTTCATGTAGCGCATACGTATTAATTACATTGTACTTTGAAGCAATGAGTATGCTCATATTCTCTCTTGTATGCCTCCGACTATTTCATCTATTGATATTGAATAGTAGGTCATTAATCTTCCTATAAACCACGGCATAAAGTTATCGCTCAAAACAACAATTTCCTTGGTGATATATTGATAGACATTTTCAGAAATTGGTTAATGTATGTATGTTGAGGATGTTGGTCATATGCATTAATAATTAAATATTACATCTTGCGGGTTCTTGGTTTATATAGCCATGATCACACTGAAATCATCCACCTGCGAATATTTACCTTCTAGTCTAAATTGACAGTTAATTTTTTGGTGCTAATGTTTTTTGTGGAGATTTGCATACTTTTTGTAAACACCTCCATGATTACACTAAAATCATCCGCATGTGAATATTTTCATTCCAATTTGAAAGGACAGTTAATTTTTTTGGTGCTAGTATTTTTGTGGAGATTTGCGTACTTTGTATATAACACCACAATTGTAACGTTCGGATCTTGGTATGTATTTTAAATTAAATCATTCATTTTTGCAAAGGGACTCGACGAGTTGGAGGCCCCAAACTCATCAAGTAGGAACGGATGTTGGACGCGAGATTTGAAGTTTACTCGACGAGTTAAGAAGCCTCAACTCGGCGAGTATGGCTGCCAGAGTGAAACGCTAATTTCTAGGGTTTGCACCCTATTTAAGCACCTTAACACATTATTGAGGCCTCCCCTATCGCCTCCCTTAGTCCAGCAAAACCCTAATTCGTGATCTTGAGCATTTTAAGTGTATGTGAGTGAAAAGAGAGTGCTTCTTTGGTATTTCCTTGAAGGAGTGGAAGCTAGAAGCGTGTGGTTGAAGGAAGAAGCTTTGGATCCAGAGATTTCGTTGTCAAAGAAGTCATATTGAGGTATAAATTCTATACCTTGGCTATTCATTTACTAGATCTCTTCATGGAGTAGTTTAGGGCCTTAAGGAGCCTATTTTGGAGCTATTCATGGATGCAAGCATGTTTTGGAGTCATGAATTTGGATCTAGAGCCATTGAGCGACTCCATGGCATAAAGGTGCCAACTTTATGGCCATGCGAGTCCCATGCAACTTGGGAACCACTTTTTAGGGTCTTTTGAGCTAAATAACCCATGCATGAACATAAAGTTAATAACTTTACATGATATATCGACCCTAGGGAACCAGATCTATGGTTTGGAAGCATGAAACCCGACTGGAAACGACTGTATGGATTTAGACTATGGGGGGACTCGACGAATTGATCATACAACTCGGCGAGTTTGGTCGTGGTCCCCCAACCTTTTCTGTTACTGAGCAAACTCGTTGAGTCTAGAAGATGACTCAACGAGTTGGCCATGGTTTTAGGATATGAAGATTGAGGAACTCAACGAGTTCAAGGAAGGACTTGACGAGTTGTGAGTAAAAGGTCCCAACTATGTTTTGAGGAGAAACTCAATGAGTTCATGAAAGGACTCGATGAGTAGGATCAAGATTCCAGGGTTGTATGGATCATAGAACTCGACGAGTTCATGAAAGAACTCGACAAGTAGAATCGATATTTCAGGGTTTTATGGGTTATGGAACTCAACGAGTTGATGGACCAACTCGGCAAGTTAAGTCAACCAGGATGTTGACTTTGACCAGGATGTTGGCTTTGACTTTGACCATTGACCAGAGTTGACCTTTAAAGGGGTTATGAATATGAAAGAATAATTAAAGAAGATTGTTATGTGTAGGAGTTTGAGAGGAGTTGATCCCAGAGCCAAGGACAGTTCAGTTACTTCACGACATTGAGGTGGGTTACCTTCAAGTAGAAGTGGGTCGAAGGCACCAATGCTAGCCCACTAGTAAGAGCTATAGTAGAGATGATTGACTTTGTGATAATTATCTGGTATGTCACAATCTGTTATGTTTTATGTGATAGTATGCTATGATGTTATGTGATAGTGGTAGGAGGGGTAGGATAGACCCCAATATCGGTCGATAGAGCCGAAGGGGTATGTCAGCACCCTGATAAGCTAGGTAGTATATGATTTATGTGTTTATGAGCAAGTATGATATATGGTAGAAGTAAGGGGTGAAATAGTCCCCGGTACCGGTCGAAAGGACCGAAAAGGGTAAGCCAGCACCCTGATATACTAGGCAAGGTACCGGTTGAAAGGACTGAAGGAGTAGGCCAACACCCTGATATGCTAGGCTAGGCACTGGTCGACAGGACCGAAGGGGTAGGCAAGCACCCTGATATGTTATGTAGTTACCGGTTGAAAGAGACCGAAGGGGTAGTCCAGTACCTGAATATGTTAGACAGTATGTATGTTGTATGGTATGTGGTATGATGGGGGAACTCACTAAGTTTTGTGCTTACGGTTTTCAGTTTTTGTTTCAGGTCCTTCTTCGAAGGGAAAGGAGTCGGCACGGTAGCAGCGCATCACACACACGATTTTCCGCATATGAGATTCTTGGGATTTGTACTCCGACATTGTTACTATCTTTTGACATGCTTCTGAGACATATGATCTATGGTTTTTATGAAATGAGATAACTTGATGATGCTTTCTATAAATTGTTTTATTAATCATTATATCAAAAATGAAAATTTTGGTCTTAAATTTTGGGATGTTACAAGTTGGTATCATAGCCTTAGTTTGATGGATTCAAACACACCTTTGGGGGTGTCTGGACTCAAATCGAGGGTTTGAAAGATTTTTACAAGAAAATAGTTTTTCTAAAATTTAAAATAAAGAGTTTTAAGAAGAACAAGGTGTGTGATGCGTGCAATTGTTCGAGCTCAAGTAAGTTTTCCCCAAGATACCCATACATGTTTGTTATGATATATGATATGATTATGAGAATTGCATGTTAGATTAGGGCTGATGATCTAGGAAGGATGCCTTATATGCCTATTGTATGAGAACTGCATGCTAGATTAGGGCTAAGGATCTAGGAAGATGCCTTATGTATCTGCTATGTACTTATTGAATTACATGCTAGAACTGATTAGTCAGTGATATGATGGCCTGAATAGGATATGCTTGGTTTAGTTACTCAATGCCCGGATGTTGATTGCTCTATGCTTTTAGGAGTTCTAGTTATCTTTACTAATTAGTAAACGAATACGTTAAGTTACATATTGCACGGATTAAATAATTTCAGAAGGTTAGGTCTAGCCCCATTTTGTAGCTCTCGTCTGAGTCCAACCGTTGTAGGGTAGAACCTCTCATTCGACGAATTATCTGGTCTTAGTGATATGTAATGGTATTCGCGAGCTATTTAGGTAAAGGTAGCAGAGATTTCTTATGCAACTGATGGCGGAGAGTAGGTCGGAGAGTTACCCTAGGGTAAACCTAATATGAGATTAGTACAGCGAGCAGTAGTAAAAGGGAATTTGGTGAAGTCAAGACAATCATTGATGAAAGTACGGATAGATATGGAAGGTAGTATGGGCCCGTACTACTAAAAACAAGGATCCGTACTCGAGTCAAGGAGGCTGAGAAGGAACCATGGAACTTGTAGAGTGTATGAGACATCTCGAGATTATGTATGACCCTGACGATTATCTGTTTTTTTTTTCAGAATGGTGGTGACACATCACGGAGCAGGAGGTTCAGGGTCTGGGTCAGGATCAGGTTCAGGTTCGGGTGCAGGTTCCGAGCGTGTTGATGACGGACTACGCGAGTTCATCGCGTCCGAGATTACGATATAGAACGGAAATAATAATCTATATGTAATAAGTTTAAAATAAAGAACTATATGTAAGTAATCATTTGATATTTTAACATACATAACTAATATTCATTTTTGAATTACCACATTTCTCATACCAATCATCTATAGAAAGAAAAAAAAAAGTTTAAAAAAAAAATTAATAATTGTATTCAAATAGAAGGTTAATTGAAACTAGAGAAATTTCTTACAATAATATTTTAGCTTCATTAATAAAAGGTCACCCACGGTTAAACTTTGACCTACTATAACATTTTAAAAATATCATAATAACTTTTCTTATCAAAATCTAATGGCTTTAGTGAAATGCTTAGTGTTAGTTTTTACTATTAAAATTTACCGACAATAAAATTTGATTTTCTATTTTAACCACACTTTAGCCGGTTACAATTGTCATTGGAGTGGTGAAAGTAGTCGATCATACAAAAACATAATAAACTTGGATAATTTAATCGACAAACTAATATATCGTAGTCAAACCACAAAATAGACCTAAACATAGCGGCTTTTATATAATTTGCTAGAACCAAATTGATTAAGGCTTATCAACTTTCCTTAGAACATATTGGTAACAAACCATTCATTCATTCCAACAAACAATCCCCCAAAACATATTTTCAAAATAGCTTCTATACATTTTCTTGAAAGATTTTTACATACCATCCAAGTCCCAAAACAACAAATAAACCAAACCAAAGCAAAACTCATTCCAAAAAAAAAAAAAAAAAAAAAAAAAAACAACATTATTAAGCATCATCTAGACTAGTACCCCCTCCCTACACACACTACTTACTACACAAAGGAATCAAGGTAACCATAGTTATGGCGTTTGTTATACTGTAACAAACTGGCATAAGTCCGGTCCCACACTCCAATATAAAGTGATTCGTCATCAGGGCTCAACGACACCCCGGAAATCTCCCCAAAAAAATCAATTTCTTGTCGTTTTTCATAGTTTAAATTGGTGTCATAAACATGAACAAAATCAGCCGGTTCAGCCACCACCAAAAACTGCCCGTTTGATGAGAACCGAACTGACCGGACTGCCCCCATGTTCCCCTTGAGAACCGAAACCGGGTTTGATAGGTTTCGTAGGTCCCACACTCTGCATGTCTTGTCTTGGTTTCCTGTTGCAAATATTCTTCCATCCGGATGCCACGCGGATGCAAATGAGTAGTCCAGGTGTCCCTCCACCGATCCCACTGTCTAAAAAGTAAAAACAAAATTAATTTTTACTTTTTATATTTTTCTTATCAACCCATTATTATACTTTGAAGAATATAAATTATTTTCCTATCTTACTTTTCCATTTGTTGAGTCTACAACAAGTGCATCAAGATGATCTCCAACCACAGCTATAAGTTTGCGATCCGGGCTTAGCGAAGAATGCTTCATCCAAAAAAAAAAAATTAAAATTTATAAACAAAAAAAAAAAAAATTAAAAAGTAATATTTTTATAAGAAACTCACGTTGACTGGCCAAGGAAAACGAAAGTGATTCATAAGCTGAAATCTCTCCATATCGTATTCTCTCACACCACCATCATTATTTGATGCCATAAAATGCTTTCCACCACTACAATATCAAAATTCTTATATTTAAAAAAAAACTCATAATAGTAAAATGTTACATATTGTCTATATTGGTAAAAAAATAGTAAATTATTATTATGTTGTTATTTTAACTATACCTTAAGCTATCATATATCTCAACAGCATTTGTTATTGCATTGTCATCGTAAGTTGTTCTTGTGCAGAAACTTACTCCTTGTTTATCCAACCTCTGTATCATTTAATTACAAAAATGAATAATTGTAATATAAAAAGAAAAATCTACCTTTGAATAAAAAATAAAAATATGTCATATGTGTGTGTACCTTACAAGCAAGCTCTCCTTGAAAGCCTCCAGCAACAAGAAAATCATCTTTGACTGAAAGTGTACTAATTTGAGTTTGTGTAAAACCTTCAAGCAAACTTCCAGCATGTTTCTACATATACAGAAAATAAAATTTCATAATTAAATGCTAAGAAATATCATTGTAGTTTGAAAGCACAATGTTTTATTGTTTTTAGAAATTAATAGAAATTACCTCAGTGGGTGCTACATGGCCAGAGAAATTAAGAATTTCAGTTAAATTGTAAGATAATGATGACCAATGCATAATTGAGTAGTTAGACATGAGATACACATCATGTTTTGAGTTAGCCCACACAAGATTCCTTAGCTGCAGATAATATTAATAATCAATTAAATTCCCATATCTTATTATGTCAAAAGAAATAGAAAAAATAATAGTTTTATTTTATACCTGAAAGTGAAGAATTGTAGGCTTCACTATTCTGGTGTTATGGAAAAATTCATAGTAGTTGCCACCTTTTTGCTTCTGTTTACATTTCTAGACATACAAAGAAGGTTTCCATGATAAACAAGAAGGAAAGAAGAGTCATATCATATGGATGAAGAAAAGGGTAAAGAGGGTTTTGAGTTTTGAAAGATGTACCTTATCAACAGCATCACCTGATAATGGAATGTTTTCATAGTTTCTGTATTGTTCAAGTCTTGTTTGTCTGTAACTTTCTCTTGTTATATTCAATCTTTCCCATGGGATGCCTTGAATGTCTTTGCCTCTTCTTGCTTGAGCTGAAGATGTATCTGTCACCTTTATAAGTTACAAAAGTTAATTTATGAAGTAAGCATTTGATGCTTGATTGGGTAGATAAAAGGTTAAAATGAGTAAATTGTTTAATGCGTGTAGCTTTAGACTCTTTTCATTTTTGGCTAAGTTTGTAGAGAAAATGTAACCAAATTGTGACATTTTAGGCAAACTAACCATTTCATTATCATCAGCAAATCGAGCTTCATCACCATTGATTTCATCATCATCCATCACAAAATCCAAAATGTCCACCTCATCTGCCATGTAATCGATTCCCTCAACATCATTATCAGGCATCCTGTAATCCCTGCATTAACAGAGAATAACTCTTTAGTATATTTTCTTGGAGCTTTTAACTCCATGAAGTTCTCTCTTCTTTGATAAGAAAGATGCAGTTAGCTTCTTCTTCTTCTAAAAGAACCACCGAAAACTTACACCTTTAAATTCTATGAAACATAAAAAAATGCTGAATGTAGAGATGGAAATCAGACAGATAAGGTAAGCCAATAAGTTGTTTCAAAAGTACTCCCAAACAACCCCTAAATTCAGTATCACCTCACGAATAAACATCACTTTGAACAGATAAGGTGAGACAAAAGGAAAACAAACAAAAAAAAATGTATCGAATTCTTAAAATGGTGAAGAAGATCCACCAAAAAATACATGTCTCTGTATACTCTCACCGATTGTAGATTAATTTATCTTCGATATCAAACGTTTCTACTGTGACTAACAACTATATGAATCTACGGAAATAGCATCACAGATTCACAATAATAATAAAAACGTTATGAATTTGAAGTTTTGCTAATTCCCAGACCTCGCACAATTACCGGATTCGTTCAAGTACTTAAAAATAAAAATCAAAACGCACACCGCATCGCCAGAAAAAGGAACCCTAAATTAAAATTGTTGAAATTTCAAACAGATAAGTGAGAAGGAAGGCATTCGTAACCATACATGCGTAATTCACCAGATGAGAAACCCTGGAGAAATCGCGCAGCAGATTCAGATGGAATGACTTGATTCTTTACCGATGAAGAATAATTCAATCTGATGATCTAGCGGTTTCTTTCTTTCTCTCTCTCTCTCTCTCTAAAATCGAAGACGAATCTTTGAGGGGTTTTCCTTTTTTCTACAAATCTCGTGGATGAATTATTATAATAATTGCAATTTTCGCAAGTGGGGGCAGCCTGCTTCTTCATCCAAACACGGCCTTTTGGGCTCTGCCGATCATGATTTATCACGTTACTGCCATTGCAGTGTTACTACTCTACTTTATTACTATTTATACTATTTTTTTTTTTTTTTTTATTTGTGTGGTTAGTCGAATGTTTTTTTTTATTATATATTATAATCGGTTAAGTTCTTTTTTTTTCTTCACTTTTTTAACATCTAGTTATTATTATATATTATTATCGGTTAGTTTTAATGTTCTATTTATATTTATATTTATTTGTGTGGTTATATTTATTTGTTTTTTATTTTTATTTTTATCTTAGGAAAAAATATATAGGATAATAGATTTCAAAATAATCCGTCATTTAAGTAAAATCATATACACTTAGATTTAAAAAAAAATAAAACGGCAAATGAAAAAGGACAAATGATAGACCTTTTCTTCTCCTCTTTCTCTTTCCTCTCGCTAACCGGGCAACTAGCTCAACAAGACGAGTCATCTAGCAATGGTTACGGGGTGGTCTTGGCAAGTTTGCGACGTGTCTTGGCGAGCTGGAGGCGAGGCCGCTCCCTCCAATCTAAAGGAATAGAACGTTTAATAAAACTAACCGATAATAATAGATAATAATAACTAGATGTTAGATGTTAAAAGTAAGAGGTTGATATATGAACTCTATAATCTAGTAACTTTTGCTTGTGTCGGTCCAAGCCAAAAAAAAAGGTCAAACAAAGAATTGAAAAAAAAGTGAGAAACAATCAAGGTAAAACTATAAAATACCAAAGTTATAGTGGTTGTTTTGGATTGGTCTCGGGCTGGTCTTTTTCGATCCGAACTTTTTTCGGACTAGTTTTTTTTTGTTCTTTTATTTTTTTGAATTGGTCTCGGTCTTTTTCAATCTGGTCTTGCGATCTTTTCATGCATCTTTTTTGTTTCAGTTTTCAAGTTTTTTTTGGGTCTATTTCAAATGCAGCATCTTGACCAAGGCTATCCGGTTAACCAAATAATACAATTATTCTATAAGTGTAGCTCGGTTAGCTGACTACACCAATGTGTTGGTCAAACGCAACATCTTGATCAAAGTTACCCGTTTAGCCAAAAAATACAATTATTATATACAATGCATGCTAAATATTAATGTCAAACAACGAATTAAGGTGATTGACATCTTTAGCAAAAATTAGTTTCGCGTCCACTCATTTTTTAAGATGATCGAAGATGAAAAGTTTTTTTACATGGAATTAGGTGCGGATAGCTCAATAGTATGATTAGGTTATTTTAATTTATCTTTTTTAGTTTTTATGAATATTTAATTTGATCTTTTGCACATCTATTATTGGGCATATTATACACAGTTTTTAAATAGTGTGATTTTCATATATTTTTTATGTTTCGATCTATTTATAACTTCGTCTTTTATATTAAAATTATGTATTTCAATACAAGATGTATATAAAAAAATATTAATTGACACTTACATAAACTATTTGGTAACAAGTAATGTTAGTGAAAAATTATAAACATATAAAATGTATATTTTAACAAATTATATATTTTGACAAATTATGACAAAGTACATCATAATACATTTTTATATAAGAAAACATTTTGTTCAAAGTGAATAAACATATTAGAAAATTCATTTACGCTTAATACAATCAACGAATGAAATTCTAAACATTTATAACATTTATTTGATAATTATGTATTCTACTAATAGTGAAATCAATTCTTTTTTATCATCATATTTTTTTTTCTTTACATTTATATTATTCATAGTAATTACATTTCTCTGCAGCAAACGGTTTCACCCGCCTTTTTTCAATCCGATTTTTTCTAGGACCGATCACTTTTCGAGCCTAGTCCGAGACCGATCTTTTTGTGCAACTCTAATCCCCCCCTTCTTTTTTTTTTTGTTTTGTTTTTTTTGGTCAAGTATTCTCCAAATGTAACTTTATATTTTTTTTTGAATTGTAACAATGCATACAAAAAATTAAACATAAGAGTTCCAAAAGCTATTTGAATTAAGTTTTAAATTAAAGTCTTAAACTTGTAATCCCGAAAGCTTTGCTTTTTTTAAATTTAACTTTTTTGTAAGCTAAAAACTCTCAAAGTGAATTGAGGAGGATATCCTAAATTTAATACTGTATGGTGTATTCAAACTAAAATTGAAGCTGTTAATTTTAAATATTTGTTAAAAAGAAAAAGAACGTAACTTAAGTAAATATAATACCAAAGAGGTTTTGTTCTAATGACAAAATTCAAATATAATAATTTTATAGATGGTATTATTTTTATTCTGTTTAAATAAAATAAGTGATATTGTAGCTCCAAATAAACAAGAATAAAGGGAGTGAGAAAAAAAAAAAAAAAAAAAACAGACGTATAAGATATCATACATTTCAACTATTATATATAATTTATTTATGTTAAACAGTTTTAAACTCGACTGAAAATTATGTAGTTATTAAGACTTACTTTTTTTTTTTTTTACTTATGAATTAAATAAAATACTTTGTTTAATGCTATCTAAATTATATGATAGTTACGTTAAAAATACATGTCTAGGCATGGGATTTTTGGTTTTTATAAATATATTTTTGTTAAATATACATGACTTTCGATGCAAGCTTACACTACTGACTATTCCTATGATCCTATCTACTTGTATTGGTAACTTTCTTAATTTTATAGTAGGTGTAAAACACATGTAATGCACGGGTTATTAAAAAAAGATTAAATATCAAAATGAAAACAATAAATATTTTTTAAAATAAGGAATAAAAAACATATTAATTGCAATATATTATCACATTTATTATATTTAATAATTTATATATACACACATAAGTATTATGTAACTTTAATTTTAAAAATTAAAAAATCTATAAATTGACATGTGGATTTTATTTCATATTACAAAAATATCACAAAATAACAAGTATCAAAAATTACGAAAGATTAACATGTAACAAAATTGATCTAACAAAATTGATCTTCATTTATTAGAGTAGAAGGTAAATAATTCTTTTCTTTTAAGGCATAATTCAAATTGAAACTTGCAAAAGATAATCTTCCAATTCGGAAGAGGTGTGATTGCGATAAGATAGAGCATTAATAAGACAGTGGAGACATAATGTTAGGGGGTTGGCCCATAAGGCCCATTTTGGCCACCAAATTCCTGGTTATTAGGACCCACATTGCCATAACTTGATATGGACCCCGAATTATTGTAATAAAAGTTGGATCAAGTGAAAGAAATGTAATGTAACCTTTTAAATTTCATATTACATCATTGTATATTATTATCTTGTAAATTGTCTTTTATTCAAATAATATAGTTTAGAAAATTTATTTAACTATAGCAATATGATACCTCTTAAACGGAAATCAAACTTGACAGGATGCCAAGACTCGTGGTTGATTAAACCATGGTTGAAAATAGATGACTTGAAGACCAAATTTGACTTGATATTTTAATAAAATGTCATAGTTCGACTAACCGGTTTTTGTATTTTATGGTTATGTTGTCGTTTCCATTAAAAAAAAATATTTTTGAGGTTACGAGGATTTATTAGCATAAAAAGGTTATAAAACTTTATGAAACTAGTAGTTATGTACCTTATTAGTTGTTACTTACACGATGTTAAGGTACTTTTATGGTAAAATCCTAGGGTTTACATTAGATGAGTATTTTTACGATTTGTTGCTAAGGTAAGTATGTACGTAGTTGAAATTTTTAAGCACACATCCAACGGAAAATTAAATGTATTACTAAGTTTTTGTTTTATGACTTGTGTTTATACTATATGTACTACTTGATGTGAGGATATAATTATATATTATATATTGATGTATGCCTAGTTGCCATACTAGGATTAATGTTAAGATGTTTAGATTATTTGATGATGATGTTATGATATGCTATTTGTCATGCTAGGTTTTTTTTGCATAAGTTGAAGACGATATTTTTTATGCTAGATGTTTTGCTAGGGTTATTGCATGTATGATGACGATGATGATGATATTGATGTTATAGATATTACATTCTTTGATTACTTGCCACTTTGCTAGTGTGGATTTTTCTCGATGTTAGCCGCTAATGAATTTGGTATAAATGATTAGTGTTATGTGAGATATCTCGGGCAGGAATAATAGGTATATATTTACAGAATGTATTATCATATCATGATGATATGATATTAGATGTATTATTGATAATGTTAGAATAATAAGTATATAATTGATGTTAGATGATGATGTGATTCCACATTGATGTCCTTTTCATATAAAGCTTATATATGATTAATGTTGAGTAATAAAAAACTTATGTATCTCAATAAACTTTAAACTTTATAGTATAATATATTAATTTAATGTGCATCGTAATGACGTTGGAAAATTTTGCCTTTTTGACTTGGTATTTAGAATATACCGATGTTTGATGCATGATTGAGATATCATTTATATTTATTTAATGTTTCAAACTATTTTGGATTTTCCGATGTAATATGATATTTTAAATACATAAATGACTTTTCAATTGCCGAATTTTTTGCAATGCACTTTTTTAATTCCACTCATCATTTTAACCATGTCAATATTTTCCCAAAATAAGGTGATGATGATATTGGATTACTTCCAATTGTACAAGAGTCCAAAATACAATCTTATGTTGAAATCGCAAGCAAAAAGACTGAAAAACCCTTTACGGATTTTTCAGAAATCAGATACACATCGTAAAAATTTATTTACAAAATTACCCTTTGACAAGCTACCAGACAAGTTGATGGAATTAATCCGTGTGTTATGGTTGCCTAATAATTCTTTAGTATTGTATGTGTATATATATGACTACTACCTTTAGGGGTATTTCAGGAATCAAGATTTATAATGATAAAAATAAAGCAATCACTAAAAGTGATATCAAATATCTATGAGGAACAAGACTTGAAGTAGATGATATAGAATGAGGACCTACTAAATGCACTGATCCAGTAATTTCATCCCTTAGTTTAATGCTTGAAGAACCTGAAATCATTAACTCATTAAAAAAAAATAATAACAATAATTGTAAACCATGTATTTTTTTTTAATCATATATTTTGCAAAAATTAAAAGGGAAATCACATTCACAACTCACAATTATACTCAGTCCATCCAATTGTTTGATTTTCAAGATCATATAACACAAGCTTATTTGATAGGACCAAATCTGCAAACATTACAAGAAAATGAAATGGAATTTAATAATCAAGATTAAATCAAATTTCATTTTTTTTTAAAAAATAAATAAAATAATATAGAGGGTACTTACCTCCAAGTACAAGTGTGTCTGATGAACTAAGAGAATCCATGCCATTATTTTGCCAGCCAAAACACAAGTAATCTTCCTGTTGGATAAAATTCAATTATGAGAATTGAGATATACTAAAATTTAAAATTAAAAAAAATAAAAAATACAATTTAATACTTACAAAGGCGAATAAGTAATCATGTGGATAAACCTTCAAGGAAAGTGAATTTTCAAAATAGAATGTAACCGGAGGAAATCCATCATCAACACTGCACTTAATAAAAAATCAAAAGTTCACAACTCATTCTACTTTTATAAAAAAAAAATTATATAAAAATAAAAAAGGTAACTACTAACTAATACATAATTTATAATTACATATTACCTTCTGGAGAATTCAAAGCATGTATACTGGTCATGAAGGGTGTGTAGTTTCAAATCAGGCTGCGCTATGACTATCTAAAGAAAAAGAAAAGAAATTAAAAAAATATATAAATGATGGAGTTATTATTTTTTAAAAATTGTAATTAAAATGATAGTTATATTGGTATAAAAAGTTTGACCTCGTTGACCAAGGGCTTGTAGATTGCATCTGGAAGATAAGCCAATGTTGTACCACTATCTATTATTGTTCTTCTTTTGTCCCCAGAACCATTTGTATTTGTTGAAATATTTAGAAATTGTTTTCCAACTTCAATTCCCATCAGATTTGCAGCATAATGAGGCCTATGATTTTATAAAATTCAATCTTAAGGCACTAAAAAGAACAAAAGAAGAAGAGTAAACTTTATTTATTGGTCCCTGTGATTACAAACTTTCTTCAGTTTCGGCCCAAAATGGAAACTTTTTTTTTAGTCCCAATTTCCAGGTTTCATTTTGATTTTGGTCCCTCTCACTTATACAAGGGCTTTTTGGTCTTTTTTCCTTCTCTTGTTTTAACGCATTACCGATACTTTATTCATCATTACTGAGAGTGGACTACACCAAATTTCTTTTTGGACCAAAAACTGAAGAAAATTACTAAGTATAGGGACTAAAAATGTAGTTAACTGAAAGAAAAAGGAACAACATACTGATCTGGGATCAAAGGTGTTGAGTTGACTTTGGGTTGAACAACATGACCAATTGCAAAAATACCACCACCATTGTCACCATCTAGACAATGAGCAAACATCTTTTTCACTTTTCCAGATGAAGCCAACTGTGAAATGATTGATGAATTTGATTTTCCAAATCCAAGAATCCCATCAAGTGCATCCTCAGATGAACCTAGATTCCCAGATTGTCTAGCACCACACCTGATTCAAAGAGAGAGAGAGAGAGAGAGAGAGAGAGAGAGAGAGAGAGAGAGAGAGAGAGAGAGAGAGAGAGAGAGATGCATTATTATGAGAGAGGAATGAAATATTGATAATGAAGTGAAAGTATTATTAATAGCAATGAAAACATACCCGAATATGACACTTCCATTTGCTAGCTTAGTTTCCAAATCACCTGAGACACTGTCATACTGAACAACATCCATTACAAAGTAACCAATACTGTAGCTTCCATCACCATAAGTCTCTGTATATAGACAAGATGCATTGGCTTTGCAACCTGTAACTGCACCACCATTGATCTCTGCACAAAAATCTTGAGAGCATGTAACCAATTTCCCTGTGAATGAATCTTCTGGATCGTATAGTGTAAGTTCCAGCTGTTAGAAGTATGGTAGGTCAAAAGCTGTTAGCATTCACATCCATAAAGTGTCCATATATTATACGCCAATCTTCCTAACTCGATTATCTGTTCATTCTCTTAGGGAACTTATAAACAAGTTTTTCTTCAATATGCTAAATATGAATAGAAGAAAATCAAGAAAAGAATACCCCGTGATAGCCTCTCTTGGGGCACTCTCGGCATTGTATACAGTTTATCCACATTATATCACTTCCTGTATCTACTTGCACATAGTATTCCTTTGGTGGTGTTCCAATTCCAATTTTGGCATAGTAAAGCCTGCAAAATAAGGTCTAGATTTCAGATAATTGTCAAACCAGTAGACAGAAGAATATCACACATAAAACACTTTGATTCTATTAAATCAGGCCGATGAGGTTGATGAAGTACCATGCCATTTTTTCGAGTACAAACAGTACTCACCATTTATCTAAATCGAATCTTATGCCAATTATCATCATGGTATCGGTATGGAAACTTGATTTCATCCCTACACAAGCCCTAATTCTCATTGAAATTCAAATCGAGATTTAAGAAGAAAAAAAAAACTAAAATCTCCAATCTCAGTCATGTAACTAGAAAACGATATAGCACGATCGCATAGATTAAGATAAAAGTACAAAAGGAAACATCGAGAGACGGCGTTTAAGAATATGTGCGTACCCAACGGCATCAGGACGACCGGTTCCACCGAGAGGTAGGTCGACACCAGATGCTAGAATCTGAAGATGACGAAGGTTATCGTGAGCTTTGAAAAGACTAAGTGATCGTTCCTTGCCAGAGAATTTGGAATTCACGCCGAAAACAGCACCGCGGAAATCGCCGTCGTTACTAGCAGCCCCGGAAACAGAAATCAAAACGACAAATAGTAACGAGATGAAGCTGGTCTCTATAGCCATATAGATGATCGTATAGAAGTATATCGTTGATCTACGCCAGCGACGGAGCAGTGGAATTGAAGTCGGGAAAAGTCGATGAAGACGACGACTGACCAAGAGAAGGCATCTTAAAGTTAATAGAAAGTTTGTCACAGAACACCCCTGAAACTTTGGCCAAATCTAATATCCACCTCAGCTCAAAACAAATATTAATAAAAGCTTGCCCATCCAATTTTTATATAGAGAAAAAAAATGGCTAATTTCTCAAAGGGGATTTGGGTTTACATAATTTCATAGGATCGTATTGGAATTGGAAGTCGATTCCTATCAAGCAATGTGTTTGGTAGGGTGTCTATGAGTCTATTATAGATCAAAACCGAATTATTATTATAATAGATTAACGTATTATGTAGTTATTGGTTACTGGTTATGATTGGTTTCGATTAATAATTCTAATTTTTAATGGTATTGGTTATTGGTCAATACAAATTAACCATAATGGTCCAAAGTCACATATCTAGAAAAAATTTTGAGAAATAATTTCCAAAATTGTGACTTCGGGTTATTTACATCATTTCTTAAAAATAAAAGATCCCACATTGAACATTCTTTTCTCACTAAAACCAATCTCGTATTCTTTTTCTCAAATTTAAATCTATTTTTCGATTTTTAACTCGACTGATGACTTAGATGTTATAGGTTCTCTATGCATCTATACACGAATTTTAGGCAACATTAGCATTTAATAATAACCCTAAGTGTATATGCAACCCAGATCTATGTTTTACTATTATAGTAATCTACTTTCAGAATTATGAATTTAAACTACCAAGAGATATAGAATTACTAACCTTTAAAATAAAAACGTATTTACTTTTGATTCCCTTGAAAATCTTGAAGTCTTGGTTGCTTGTAGAAGGATCTAGCACCTAAAATAGGAATGTCTCTAAATGCTCACACCTAAAAGACTAAAACTGTAGAAAATTAAGGAGAGGGACTATGAGAACCGAATTCTTAATGTTGTAAAGGTGTAGGATTCGATTTCTAAAGGCCATGGAGGTCTTTATATAACTGAGGTAACTTGTAGATAAAACTGGTTTGAAATGGTTGAATAATCATATTTAATCACAATTCAAATCATTTGCTTATCTGTTACTAGGAACAATTCTAAAAGGGTTCTAAAGTCTCTCAAAACTGTTCACTCATTGTAGGGATTTTAGAATGTTCATCTTGCTCAACTATTAAACAATTAACATTCAGTCCATATACCTTTAAATAAATCTCGACTGATTCTAATTAATCCTGACAAGTTTCTAATTAATTTATTAACATGTAATAAATTAATAAACTATTTATCTCATCATCTTAAATTCTTTTCTAGCTATTTTTAGGTCTTGAGAGCAATCATAGAAAGACTTTGCTATTATTCTCAGAGTTATATCAATACATTATGACATTAACACATATTACTAACAGTCTTCCACTTAGATAATTCATCAACTACTGTTGGTCGAATAATCTTCAAATAACCAACAAAGTGCGACTTAGACAACAACCATCAAACTATGATCTAATAAAAAATCATCCCTTTTGGATAGGTGATCAATTATTCCTTTAATTTGTTTGTACAAGATATCATTGTGAATTGAGTCATGGATTATGAGTCAATCTAACAATTCATCTTTTTGTGTCTTGATTTTCGATTAATGATGATTAAATTAGACTACCAATTGAACACATCAATTTAGTTCGGGCTAGGCCTAACACATGAATATCATCGTCAAATCATCGAGTGTCTCATGATTCGCTTTACCCAATGAGGAAATAAATAAACTTTGACTACATAGTTTTTGTCTACTTGTCAAATCGCGTATAGATTTACTCGATATGACCACTTGTTAAGGATAGCGTTAGAGTAAGATTGATAACAACCAACTTGTATGAAAAGAACTCAATGTCTCTCCGTTTAAAAATAAAAGATACTATCATCTCAAAATACTCGTGATTGAATCTATAAAGTAATATCTCTAAGTGTGGGTTTCTCAAATACTTACATCTCTATTAAGTACCCATGAATGTTAGTCACAATCCTCATGTTATGTCCAATCACTATAGACAATCTACTAACACTTCATAACAATCTTAAATCAATACTGAGTCCCAACTGTATGACCGATTATGGATTTTGAGTAAATTAATACTCGGGAAGGGGGGAATCTAAACATGCAAAACTGAAACACAATAATAAATTAGTTGTAAACGGCACCACTCCTGAATATAAATAAATCTTCATTATTTAATCACCATAACAATTACAAAATTTATTTATTATTCTAAATATTTCAAAACAATCAACTAATTGCTAAACTAAACCTCATCTCTCATGCCTATGCTCCTAGCATGTATACTATGTCTTTCCTTGGCATCCCTTTTGTGAATGGATCAACTGGAGTCTCCTTTAATGATACTCGCTTCACAACTAGATCTCCATCCTCAAATCTATCTCAAATATAATGGAATTTCCTCTTTATATCCCTTGACCTTCCGTGATCCCTAGGTTATTTAGTCAAAGAGACTGCACCTTCATTATCACAGAATATCTCCAATGTGTATTTGTTACTCTAAACAACTCGACGGTCACGTATGAAGTTTCTGATCTATGTAGCTTCCTTGTATGTTTCACTTGCAACAATGTATTCAGACTCGCAGGTAGAGTCAACTCCTGTCTCTTGTTTGGAACTTTTCAAATTCACCGCACCACCATTCAAAATGAATACCCATCCAGACTATAACTTTGAATCATATCTATATGTTTAGAAACTTACATTACTATATCCCTTCACAACTGACTTTGAATCATATCTATATGTTTGGAAACTTGCATTACTATATCCCTTCACAAAAAGCTCTTGTTCATCACTGTGATAACCCTGTCACACCCCCGGACCAGAACGGCGGAAACATCCGGAGGCGGGTGACGTCATTGTGTAGTATCATAACAATTGCATATAAATGAATCATAGCAACACCAAACATCATACATTAATATAACCAGCTTACACTGTTTTACATCATGTTTATGTTCTTAAATATTACACAAAAGAGACATTAGTAAGCAAATCCCAAAAATACATCAAATAATCTTGAGTCCACGATCCATAACCTACTTATTGGTTTCCTGAGAATACAAGTCGTTTGAAAAGCATCAACATAAAATATGTTGGTGAGTTCATAATCATTTGCGTATAAAAACTTTGATGATAGTTTAGGAATCCAGTAAATCCAATATTTTCTTATCAACTAATTGTAACTCTTGTTTCAAATCTAGCATAGTTGCATGTGTGTCTTAAATCATCGTTTTCGAAATTGTACAAATTGTTTCCCCATAAAATCCTATATTTTCTGATGTGTAAAATAGTAGGTTTGGTAAAAACATAACACTTGTGTGGAAAAGTCTCGTTGAGGTAGTCAAAATAGTTGATTTTTAACCGAGGGTGAAATATGTATAAATACGTTTCTGATGTATTCTAGTGAGTCGTTATAACCATACTAATATGACGGAGTGCCTGTTATGACGTTCTTCAGGCGTCGGTTTTGTTCAAGACATTCGTCACCCTAGACTGGCCAGTCCAGCTGTAGCGACCAGCGAAGGTGCGGGGTGTCAACCCCGTATAGATCTATACACAAATTCTCGTTCTCCCTCCAAGAGACTCTAGTTATAACTCTTACAGGACTTAAAGTGTACAATATTATATTAATATATGTATTGTGAAGATTTTATCTGACTAGAATACCAATCGATCTTTGAGCAAATCGTGAAAATCATTATTTACTAAATAAATAATAATAATAATAGTTGTGGTTGTGTCTAGATATTTCATTTCGTTCGTCTCGTTTATTGGAATTAATCCACTTTGAAATATTTATCAAAGTGACCCAAATATTATCAAAACTGGAAAACAACCCCTTTTCTTTATAAAACACTATGTGTGACTCAATTTGTCAGAAAATGTCAAGTTATGCCTTGTGAAACTATGACTTGTGTGAAATTATGACATCAGCTTTATGACATACAAACTTTTCTGTCATAAGGGCTCTATTTGTGTATTTTTCTTGCCGCAATTATTAATATCAAATATTTATGAAATACCCCCTAATAGTTTGCAAAACAACCATTTATGGGGCATAAAGTCCAAAAATTATAAGTCTATTTCAACTCCTTTTTATCTTTAGTTATAGAGATATAAAGTAAAGAAGGGGGGGGGGGGGGTTATGAATGTACACATTCAAAACCTTGGGAGGATCTTCTTGTACATAAAGTATCCTCTATATGGTGGTTTTGTAAATATTTCTAAAGTTTACATATAATTTGTGAACTCACGTTCATGAAAATTTTGTTATAATATAATAACATCTCATCACACATACTAAACAAACAATTACATGCAACTATCCAAGAATTTCAAACAAGGTTTGGCTTGTATTCTCCCCCCAAAACGATAAAATGTTGAAAAAGTGGTGTATGACCTTGGTTTGTTTGCTAGGTGGATTTGAAGAGTGATGAGGAAGTTTCCGACTCCAAAACTTTGGAGATTCTTAAATCTCTAGAGTATTTTAAGAATAATTTTTTTTGTGTAAATATAATGAAATCTTAGAAATAATATTAAGAATCACTAGTAAAAAAGGATGAACACTTACAAAAATTCTGGAAATTTTCCTTGAAGGAATGAAGCTTGAGTCTTGAAGGAGTTTGAGAGAGTTCTTAGGAGTTTACTGGATGAGGAAGTGAGAAGTAAAATATGGGGGAAGGAGATTCACATATTCTAAAGGGGAGGGATAAGGAGTGACTTGACATTTGCATGGAAAACTGGTGTGTAAAGCTTATTTTCTAAGGATAATGTGTGTTTAACCGGGATTTGCATGGGAAAATGGAGGATTTATCACATCATAAAGCCAAACCCTTTTATCCTCTAAAAATCTCTTTTAAAATATTAGGTATTATTTTATATACATATGTTTAA